ATGCTAAGATGAAGTAGAAATAAGATCTACAAGCTTCTCCTTGCTCCAAGCTCCTTAGACTTCAGACTCTCTTTACAAAATCCATATTCCAAGCTTCTTAACACGTAAAAATGGAGAGTAGACGCGATTAGGGTTTTCCGAGGTCAAGGGGGATGGTAAGGGAGGCAGATGGAGGCTAATAACCCTTTAAATAGGATGTAAAACCCTGAAAATTAGGGTTTCATTTTCTAGCTCCTACTCGTTGAGTTGGGGTGCTCAAACTTGTCGAGTAGAAGTCATAAATCACACAGGCTGACCAGGTTCGACACGATGAGTTGGGGCATCCAACTTGTCGAGTTCCCTCCATAAATGAATAAAAAGCTTTAAAAACGATACATGAGAGTCGGGATGTTACATTATTATTATTATTATTATTATTATTATTATTATTATTATTATTTATTGCTTTATTTATTTATCATTGTTTTTGTGGTTTAAAAATCTTTTAGTATTTTTGAAGTTTTATTTGCATATATTATTTATTATTGCTTTTTTGACATTTTGTTCGTTTAAATTATATAATGATTTTCTTGACGTATTTTTAAGTAAATAAATTAAAACAGTAACCCAGATAACTTTCAACTATAGAATAAAATTATTTAATGTTTGTTTTTTTCTTACTCTTTTAACGATATACATAACTTTCAATAGTTTAATAAAATTATTGGGTAAATTACACGAATCGTCTCTCGTGCATATGTCAAAAAGCACGTTCAATCCTTATTTTTAAAAATTAACTCGGGCCGTCCCTAAGTGTGTTTTTTCTTGCACACTTAGTCCATCCGCGTATAAAAAGACCATTTTACCCTTATTTATTTATTTTTTTGCTTTATTTTCTATTTATTTGTTATTTATAATTTATTTATTATAAAAAATCATTTTTTATTGCCTTTAAAAAAAAGAAATAGGCCCTAAACCTAAGCACCTTCATAACCCGTCTCTTCCCATATATTCTTTTTCATTCCATCTCATCTCCACCATCTACCATCACCACCGACACCGATCGTCATCCCTTGAAGAAGAAGAAGAAACGAGAAAAAAATGAAGAAATCCAGTTGTTTGAAACCAGAAATCCTGCAACTTAACAAATCTACAACTTAAAACTAGAAACGATGAAGATGGGAGGGTTAATTTGCAACTTTCTACTAGGTTTTACCCGTTTAGGTAACAAGGGTTAGAGAGAAACGACTTATATACCGATGTTTTGTTTTCCTTTGTGCATTTTATCTCCAGATGATTTGGGACCCATATCACCAGAGAAGAAAAACAAGATGATCTAAAATGGGGACAAAAAAAGCTTATCGGAGAAGAAGAAAAGGGAGAGGGCAACCACATATGATCGGAAAACCACCGCCACTGGAACAAACTAAACCTTATTCTCATCCATGGCTACGGAGGTAACTCAAGTGGTAATTCATATTGCAGGTATCACTATTGACACACAATTTCACTATACCAAATCTGGTGTTTTTCACCAAATCATACTTAATAAGGATAAAGTTTATAGAGGTGTTTTAGTTGAAGTGTGTGTGTGTGTGTGTGCTTGTGTGTATAATGGAATGAAGAAATTAGGGGTTAACAATATTTTGGTGTATATAATTAGTTACAGAGGTTTGTGATGTACTGGATGGCGGAGATGGAGGAAAAGATGGTGGAGTGTAACGACCCAAAAACCAAGGGTAAAAATTTCATTTTTAATATGGATAGAACATTGATACCATTTATTTCAACATTCCAAATCACCATTAAGTAAAATAATTATCAGAGTTCGTCCCAAATCCATTCATTGCGGAAATCATAGGTGTGTGCACTGCAATCAAGTTGAGACCTTCCTTTCCGGATCGATGATACCTGAAACCATAAACAAACATGTAAGCACGAAACTTAGTGGGTTCCTAGGGCATACCCCACACACAAACCACATAATACATATCATGTTAGCTATAAAAGCTATCCCTACCACATACCACATATCAGATTAGTTATACAAGCTATCTCTACCACATACCACATACCAGATTAGCTATACAAGCTATCTCTACCACATACCACATATCAGATTAGCTATACAAGCTATCTCTATCACATAACATTAGCTATGAAGCTATCTCTACACAACACATTAGCTATAAAGCTATCTCTACCAAGTATCACACATCAATTTGCTATGAAGCTATCTCTACCGTTAGCCACAAGGGCTATCTCTATCATCAGCCATAAAGGCTGTCTCTACCATTAGCCATAAGGCTATCTCTACCATTATCCACAAAGGCTATCTCTACCGCATATCATGCATACATTCGTATCACACCTCTACATAGCAAGTAAACCAACTATCACAAAATGGGTCGACCTTGGTGCCTTAGACCCATTGGTATGGTGAAAAAACTCACCTCACAAAGCTGAATCGACAACTGAATTCAGGTATGTCCTATACTGCTCTTCACAAACTGTCTATAATCAATGAGTAAATAACTCAGCGAAATTCCGTAAATACCCCCAGGGTTAACCCTGATTAAAGTCAAAGTCTATAGTCAAGGTCAACCGTCCATATTGACCTTGACTCATCGAGTATAATCATTCACTCATTGGGTTCCCTTCTTAACTCATCGACTCGCCGAGTCACCTGAGGGACTCGTCGAGTTCCTTGGTCTGTACGACCGTAAACCACCAACCGTATGGAACCATACCCTTGTGATAGGTCCAGATCTAGGCTTGCTTCCATTTCGTCAAAGTTTGGTCATGAACTCCTAATTAGAATATAGGCTTCAGGTAACGGATTCATACCTCAATTTGATGCCCAAGACGAACTAGATGCTAGATCCAGTGTTTTCCCATTGATTCTTCTTGTCCAAGCTTGGATTCCTTCCCAAATTCCCAAAGTCAAGCTCTCAAATGCACACACTTCACACACCAGGGAGTTTACGGCCGTACACAGTCTCTTATGATGTTAAGGGAGGCTACACGAGCGTTTAATGAGGCTTATATAGGGGCAAACCCCAAAATTAGGGTTTTTCATTAAACAAACCTGATTTGTCGAGTCAGCCTTTTGACTCGCCGAGTCACTTCTGATTCGTGCCCCTGAAATACGACCCTACTCGACGAGTTAAGCTCCCTACTCGCCGAGTCCATGCATGAAACCTCTCCATTGACAAGTTTCTAACTAATGCTCAAACTAGGTGTTACATGGAGAAAGTGGTGATTGCTAGCAGTGAAATTGGGTATACGGAAGAGCAGAAATCTGAGTATTTGGAGAAGATTGGGCAAAATGTGGTGGAGATTTTGGTACTGGAAAAATCAAGAGAAGGAGGAAGAAGAAGTTCAATGGTGGATGTGTTAAATCAACAATAGCCGGTGTTGATGTTATTTCCGACATGAACATAGGAAGAAAAGTGAGGTGGTGGTCCGTAGCGGCGATCAAGCGGGTTTCTGGTGGTCGTTGTATCTCCGGTGGCCGAATTTTAATTTCAAAGGGTGGCGAGGGACAACGAATAGAGAGATCGGAGAGTTAGTGTATTTCTTTGTAAATGGGGTGGGGGTGATAGGTTTAAATGTTTAGAAATTATTAATATATGTAAAAATATAGGATTAAAGTTTATTTTTTTTATTTTTCTTATTAATACAAAATAAAAGAACAAGGGCAACATAGTCATTTTATGTGAGGCAAATGATGAATCATGTAGATTTAAACTAGCGATGGATCAATCGTGCAAGTTTAAACCAAACGAGGGACAGTCCGAGTTAATTTTTGAAAATAAGAACTGAACGTGCTTTTCGATATATGCACGAGGGACGATTGGAGTAATTTACCCAAAATTATTTAATGTTCTTTTTTTTTTCTTTTTCTTTTAACGATATATATATATATATATATATATATATATATATATATATATATATATATATATATATATATATATATATATATATATATATATATTAGATTGAATAGTTTTACTTTGTTTTTATAGAAATAGTTATATGAAAAATATAATTATTTAGGAAAAAATAAGAAACACTACATATAAAGAAATAATGTAAATAAAAACACATAAAACCATAAAACCTCTTAAAACTTAATGAAAGAATATACACTAACATATAAATGTATGATGCAAACAAGAAATACATAAAAAAACAACATTAAATAATTATATTGGTCGATTTATAATTATTTGGTTTTTTAATTTATTTTTTATTCAAACCATATGTAAAAAAATCATTATATATCGTAAACGAACAAAACATTAAAAAAACAACAAAATATTAAATTCAGTTGAAACGTTAAAAATATCTGAATTATTATTTTAATTTGTTTATTCGAACAAAACATAAAAAAAATCATTATATAATGTAAATAAACAAAACGTTATAAAAACAACATCAAATAATATACTAAAATAAAACTTTAAAAAATATTAAAAAAATTTTAAATAAAAAAAGCAAAGATAAATAAATAAATTTAAGAATTAATAATAATATGATTTTATAATTTAAATAATTAATTAAAAAAATAAAAATAAAATTTATAAATAATCTTTATTAATTCTATTAAAATAAAGACAAAAGAAAGAAAATACAATTTGGTCTTTTTTATATAGAACAAGAACCTACGATATTCAAATACCAAAGAATGTAACCTATCAAATTTTAAATTTAAGGACCAAAACTACATATACAACCAAAACACAAGGATGATTTCTATAATTTACTCTTTACATAATCATAAACAAAATTCAATATTGGTATAATTTGAAGATATTAGTAAGACCTTTTTAATGATATAACTTGTTATAAGTTATAATTAAATTCTAAAAAGATGTTGTATATAATATGAGATCATATAAAATGGTAAAATATAATGATGATATAAAATTAAAAATTAAAATGATAAAAGATATAAAGGTAATATCTAGATAAACTGAAAGGCTAAAACTTTAACTTTTAATGAGATATGAAAGACATTTTTGTGAGATGTGAAATGGTGGGGTCACAACCCCAGTTCTACACAACAAAAGGACCTATTTTTCCAAAGTAATTGGGGAAGAGCTCGATGTTTTCAAAAATCTCATCCTATTATTGTATTAAGTCCTCGATAAACAAAACCGTGAAATTATTGCAATTTTGTACATCACCATTGTCATCACTCTCCATTGGAGTTGGATTCTAGGTTCATCGTGATAGATTACACAAGGGCTGCATATGAGTTGATCCATTATTATTATCGAGCAATTTGAGTTTGAACTCAATTCGACCTCTGCTCAAACTTCATCGACTAAACACAAATATGTATCACGTACTGACGCAAGTTTTGATGCATATCTTTTTGTCGATCTCCTTTTTTGGAACTTATAGACATTTTTGACACATTCAAGCTTTAAAAATCGAACTTGCTTATTGGACATGATGTTAATGGATTTTTTCAAGCAATTTTAGCATTCAAATGCTCTTAGAGTCGATCTTTGAAGTTGCGCATCAAGGAGTAAACATAATTTGAGGTATTACCATCAATTAAGATCAAACACGAGCTCCACTCTGAACGCTCGGTTCATTTGCATGACATTACACGAAAAGTGACGAACATATAAACAAGAAAACACACCATCTACGTTAAGGTACTTAACGATTATTTATTAAACCACACTCTCCATTTCTACTGCTTTATCATCTTTCTTGTTCCACCTTGCCACCACCAGATAAACGCCAAAGTTCATCACACCCAAAATCGCTAACAATCCATAGAAACAATCCAGTCTTCCATTATCAATGTCGTCAGCAAGCCACCCTTCTCCACCGTGGCTTCCGGTCACCTTCTTCACAACAGACACCAGAAAGCTGCTCATGAAAAACCCTAGTGCAAGAGTCGTAAGGAAGAGCCCTGTGCTCATCGTCTTCATGCTTTTCGGTGATCTTGTGATGAAGAAATCAAGCTGGCCTGTGTATATAAACGCCTCGCCGGCACCCACCAGGAAGAACTGTGGAATGAGCATGAATACACTTATCGGAAGTGGATTCACAGTGGTGGTTCCACCAACTGCTTTAGCCACCGATAATCGCTTCATTTCAACCACCGCAGCTGCCGCCATGCCTAGGGTTGACAGGATCAACCCTAACGCCATTCTTTGTAGATCAGTGAAACCTGGCTTTCCTTTCCATTTCTTCCATAGCGGGATGATGAAGCAGTCGTAGATGGCGCAAGTTAGCAGTATGGCGAGCACAAAGAACACAGTAAGAGACCCTGCGGGGATTCTAAACCCTCCGATGGATCTTTCCATGGTGGAAGCTTGCTGAACGGAGAAAGTGATCATCTGAGCATACGCCGTCCAGAACAGTATGGTTGTTGCCCACACCGGCAACAACCTGGCCATCATTTTCACTTCCTCCACCCTTGTCACCGTCGATAAGTTCCATGGATTCAGAGTAGAACCCGAGCCATTTTTCACAAAATCCCCTTCTGCTACAACCGCAGCCTTATCCAAACAACTACAACAAGAGAATATATAACGATCATCAATTTGATGAGTACGTAAAGGAAGAAATTCTTCCAAACGTTTAAAAAAACAAGTTCTTTTTTTTTTTTGAATGTTACCGAAATTGATCTGTGTGATGGATTCTTGAACCCTCGGGGGAGTTTTCATGCAACATGTTATAGTCGTAAGGAAGATCCATATTCCTCTTCCTTATAGCAGCGACTAACACTTGAAAAATGTTGACAATAGGGCTTCCTGCGCTTTTCTTGTATCGATATCTTTTAATCCCCGACATGATTACCAAGATAGCGATGAACATGGAGATTGTACAAATCCCATAAGCCAAACTTCGACCAACTTCATCCTGTATGTACACTAGGACTGTAACTGCGGTCAATGATCCCAGACTGATGAAGAAGAAGAACCTATTGAAGAAATAAGCCATTTGTGTCTTTTCCGCTTCGTTCTTCTCATCAAATTGGTCAGTTCCAAATCCCGAAACGCTTGATTTCAAGCCACCTGTGCCAAGTGCAATGAGATATAGAGCAAGGTAGAGAATTCCCATTTGGAATCCATTTGCTTCTTCACAGTTTTCGTCGGAGTGACACGATGGTGGCCTTAGGCTTGGCAATTTGGTTGACAATGCTAGCGTTCCAGTTCCCTAGAATAATCAAATTCGAAATGAAATGTTAACATCAAGAGCTAGAAGTTATAATTTGTGACATGAAAGGAGCGAAAGTACAAATTGTATGTATGATATAGGAAGACTTACTAGTGTTTGAATACAGGCAAAGATGACAATCGTTTTGAATCTACCAAGAAATGAGTCAGCTAAAAAGCCACCAAGTAGACACAAGAGGAAAGATGTGCCTAAAAAATCAGTCACCACATTGGCTGAAGTTGAGCTAGGGAGGTGCATGGTTCCACCCAAATATGTCACCAAGTTCACCGCTATTCCCATTGTTGAAAGCCTCTCACATATTTCAATTCCTGTTAAAAGTTAAAATCAAGGTTCATATACTCTTCGTTTCATTATATTAACGATGCACAAATAAGTTAGAGTATACACTTTAATGGATAACCATGTAATTATTCTATTTTTCATATAACTCTATTATTTTTCCTATGATGCGTTGAGTTATACGGAAGTTTAGTGAAGCATTTGTTTTAAATATAAAACGAGCTCTAATGCTAATTCTATAGACAACAAATTATTCCGCACCTCATGACCAAAACGGGTCTTTCAAGAATCTTATAGTGACAAGTTTTGTGTTTTTAGTACATATTCTAACGGTTGTTTTTACTTTATTCGTGGTTTTTGTTTGATGTAGATTTTTAAGAGCTTTGTATTAAAATAAAATATTTGGAGGCAACGATATCAAGACAACCTAATGTTTATCATAGAATGTTCACCACCTGAAAGAAAGATTTGTAAATTCGAAAGATTATTTTTTCTGATACAAAGATTCTTTTTGGAAAAAAAAAAAGCGCGGATTTTGATTACTTATGACATTAATATTGTTTTTGAGGGGTTGTAAATTTTATAAAGATTGGCTAAGATTAAAGTACTTCTTGGAGTTGAAGAGTAGAAAAATAGTCTCCGCCTGTCTTTCTTGGGTTTGAACCCAAATCCTAAAGCTTCAAAGTCATACATTTAACCATTTTTTCAATAAATACTCATGTTAGAAGATCTAGTGATTTCTTCAATGTTGCAAAAGAATATTAAACTTAAAAAATATGAGTATTTTGCGACTTTGTAATTCACAACCTTTCTGTGAGAAAAAAAAATATTATTATAAATTCCCAAACCCTGTTTTATTTATTTATTTATTTTTATATATTTTTTAATAGAACATATGGTTATTTTGTGAGAAACAATCATACAGCAATCCACTCACTAATACGACAAAACTACTTTAATAATATAAAGAAGAAATATAAGACAAAACTACTTTAAAAGAAACAATAGTCCCCGAGAAAAATCGACGTACCCAACTCCCCACAATATAGCTTACGACGAATGTCTCAATATTACTGGTTATTTTTTCCAATGAATTTTTTTAAATGGGAAAACAAATACAACGAAATTTACAACGTACTTTTCCTATCAAATGACATCAATATTTATATTTTTTTCTATAACTGTTTAATACAACTAAATTGACTTTGACTTTAATTGCGTACCTACTATTCTACTCTTTAAGTCTATACATTTTTGTTTCACAAAAGAGTTGGACCTTTAACCTTTAGCCGAGACGTATTTCTGTTAACTCCTATATCCACTGCTCTACTCTTAAGTTTAATATTTGAGTAATGGAAAAGAGTTCTATTATTCATATCTCTATGTGGTTTTAACTTAAAGGTTTATTTTTACACTTTATGTTTAATCACTCTACATTGTCATTTCTTATGTTATATCATCACCGATAATATATAAATAACATATTATATTTAAAAGTAAAGATAAAAAAGTTAGATATATTGAAAAGTAAAGATATAAAAGTTAGATATACTGAGGTATAGTTAAAATCACCTTAAAAAATTACGATGAAAAGACGAATTTGACATCGTTATATTCAATTTTATCCTTTTTCAAATTAAGGAATGATTGCCTTTTTCCCTGCTCTCACCATGTTGAATGTACCTTTTGATTAATGGGGCCAAACATATCTTATCTTAATAATTATAAGGCTATATACTATGATTGATTACTAGCATATACCATATACTAAAAATAATTATGTAATCTTCATATATGATTATCGAAAAATATATATTTTTTATTTACTTTTACACGGTTGCTTTTGACTTGCAATATTGAAATACTTCTTTAAGAAAAAGCTATGTGTATGCTTATGATGAAAACTTTTGGCTTCCTTTTTTACTTTCCAAGAATTTGGGTGAATTAAATCTTAACGATAAATCAAAAACACCATATCAAAATTCATGGCTTTGTAATATAATGTTCATGAATTCACAGTGGGTTTTCCATAGAAAATTGAAAACACTTTGGTATGTTATCTTGCATGCAATCTGCATGAATCATGCACAATGACTTGCATAACAATCTTTCAACCACCTTCCATCAAGTTTTTGCCACCTCCCATTTTCAATTTACGAATTGAAAAAGAAAGCAGATTATTCCCAAGGTGTGACATTGGATCATATAGCTATCGATCTATCCATTTTTTTTTTTTTTATATATATATATATATATATATATATATATATATATATATATATATATATATATTTTTTTTTTATGGAGTATATCATAAATCTATATAGATGCCAATTACAAAATTACACTCAAAAACCTAGTGGGTGGTCCAGTTTTTGATCAAGTTTGTCCGATTCAGCCAGCTAGATAGGCTATATAACTATGTTGTTTGTGCTCATTGATCTTAATAGTTTACTTGAACCCGAACCTCGGACCCAAATATTTATCATCATGAGACCACTATATATGAAATAATCATGAACGTATATACGATAAAATACGTTTGGATACGAAAATAATGAAGCCAATAATTATGTTTGAACTGACCAAGAATTAGGGCAGCAGGTACCCAACCGCCGGTTTTGGACCTATCAGCTGGGAACCCCTTGTAGTCTACTGCATCAGCAACGGTCCAACCCTGCTTTCCATCCTGAAAACACACAAATTAAATACACTTTGATGATCTACATGTTCAACGAAACATCAAAAGAGAATTTAGGGTTTCAAATGATCAATGGTTTCAAAAGCACAAGATATGGTTTACGAAAATCAAGCCTTGAGGTTGACATAAGTTGATAAAACTTAGTGACTTACCATTGTTTTTCTTTTTTTCAAGTCACCTTATGGAAAGAGCTTGAAAAAATTAACAAAGTTCAAGAACTTTCTCTCTCTAGATGTGTGTGTGTGTGTAACTTCACTTCACGCTTATATGATTTTATGGAGGAGCTTGCTTTATATAGGCAAAGGAACATGTACAACTCTAAAGGTTACCCTCCACTATACCAATATATATAAGAAGATCATTAATCAACATGATAAAGATTAGCCCTACCGCATTTTTGTTAAGATTTTAGCACTGTTTTGTTTATATATAATTGGCATTATATATGTATTTCAATATAAATGTTATGGAAAATTATGTAAAGTTGATGTTGATTTGTAGTTGAATCTAGAACATGTATATAACAAACTCACAATCTATCTTTGCTTGCCATAAGCAACTCTGTTGCTCTTTTACTATATTGTATGGTATAGATTGATTCTACAGGGTTTAATTTGTGAACCATAATCGAAACAAGTTATGGTACATACCCATGTCTTTCTTTCTTTCTTTTGAGTACTACTACATGTTCTTAGTGCTTTTTCTACCCCACAAAAAGCTAAAACCCCAATCTTTTTCCTTTGTTTTTATGTTCTTTCGGCTTTCAATTCGCTCTATTTCGTTTTCCCAGGCATGGGCTAACCGATAGAGAAAGGGTAATGTGAGAAAAGTATTTATGCACTACAAGTTCAAAACTTATAGCATATTTAGTTATTGAACTGTGTAGTCAATTTTTAAGTTTTTGTCGTATAAATTTTGATATCATGTTGTACAAGTGATAATACATGGTCCAAGATATCTCTTCATTTGGTGGTAGCAGGCCAGACCAACACGTTTCAAGGGTAGGCATAATATTATATCTTAAAATGGAAGGTATTTTTTGTATGATGTGAAAGGCATATATAATACTTTTCATAAAAGGAAAACTTTCTAAGGCTCTATTTAATAACCATTGTCAATGATGGGAAATCTTATAGCATACACACCCTCCATGTTGGTCTAACTACTGTATGGCCTACAAGTTAGGATTTTAGTAGGATTATATATATTCGGCTGTAGATGATTCACTTAGCATATGTGCTTCATGCATATTCATGTATATATAGTTGCAAGGTGTCATAAAACTGGTTAGGATTAACCCCATACCTGTTAGTTACTAGTCAATGTTCTTTATGGGTTACTTCTAGTCAACGTTCTTTATGAGTTACAATGAATCACAAGAGGATAAAAGAGGTCATATTCGACAGACAAAACTGTTAATAAAGATAAGAACGTATTTGTGAAGAAATAATCAGTTTGAAAATAAGATGGCTTCTATTTTCCATTGGAATTATTTACCTAATTCCTACATGCATTTTAGGAAGCTTAGTGTCATTTGGCAAAGCTCGGCCCCCTCGCCTAGAACCTCGAAAACTAGGACGCCGCAGTGGGCAGTATAATCAACTCATTTTTTAATGTTAAGAAAATTCAAGTAGTGTTGAAACTTGTGCTTCCGAATTGATTTCATGAACATGTTTTCCAAGATATCATGCCTCAATATATCCACCACTTCAATGACTTCTCATATATAAAGAAATAATAGCAGAAATAATTACATAGATGGGCTTATGGACTCCATAGAAGGAGGAGTGGATGAATTCTATGGGGAAACCCATTAGAAATCGTCCAAGTCTTCTAAAGAATGAGTCAATGGGCTGCTTAGGGCTTAAGCAGTCAAATTAGGGTTTCCTAGCTTGATAACCCTAATAGCCTAAGTATATAAGGAGCCCTTAGGCACCAAAAACGTGGCTAATACTTCCTTTAGGGTTTCCGGCCGTTTTTGGTGCCACCCTTCTCTTTCCTCTTCATCCAAGTTGCTTAGTGGTGTTTGTGACTCCATTAAAAGTGCAACACTTGAGACACTAAGCTTTCTGAAGCCAATGATTGATTGTTATTGCTATATAACAATCAAAGGTTAAATCTAAACCCTATTTTATGTTAATATGATTAATTGTATGCTAGATCTAGGGTTTATGGCTTTGGATAATCAATTGCATGTTCATTAGACAAACTAGATCCAAAGCTATTAGGGTTTGCATGTACATCATAGGAATGATGTATTGCTCGAAACCCATTAGTGGTATTAGAGCCTAAGGCTGTTTGTTAGTGAATTTGATGCTTATTTGAATGAAAAATCGAAAATTTTGACTTTTTGGGGCTGGACTCGCCGAGTCCATGACTAAACTCGCCGAGTTCACTGGGTAATCGATGAGTCCAGTGCTGACTCGACGAGTCAGCACGTCTGACAGCTATATTTTGCGATTTTCTTGCCTTTTTGTTGTGGGATAATTACCGAAACATTTTTGATTGATAAAAATCAGATTTTTATGATATTAGGTGATTATCCTTGCCAAAATAAAAGATATCTTAATATTAATTGAATAATTACTTCCTTATATGATTAAATTTAATTATTTGAATTATTTGGTGAATTATCTTGCAAGAAATTGGACTAGGTCAAAATTAGATAACCACCAATTAATTGTTAATCGTTTTGTTTGAATTTTTGATCTAGAATGTTCTTGATAAAGTTTGAAAAAATTTCAAATTACTCCCTTTAGGTTTTATAGTTTAAATTTGAACTTAAAAGTTTTGTTTTTGAAATTTAAATAAGTTAAACCCTAATGTTTTGAAAAGTTTCAAAACTTGCCCTCAAGTGTTGGATTTTAAAATTTAATTAAAAGTCTTAATTTGAAAATTTTAAATTCTAAAACCCAAATATTTTGAAAAGTTCAAATTATACCCTTATGGTTTTGTTAATTAATTAAGATGTATAATTAAAAGAGATTTAATAAGCCCATAAAGTTTTGGTTTACATTTAATTAAATTAAAAGTATAATTTATTAAATTTGACCACTTAGTATTTTAAAAATTGTAAAATACACCCTATATTATATATAACATTAAAAGTCTAATATTATATATATGTATGAGTAAAAAGTCAGTTTTACCGTTAGTAGGCCTCATTCACGAAGCTGGTCTATAAGGGGTGTTTAAGGAAATTGCCTATAAAATAGCGATTGAATGGGTATCCACTCTTACCCACCGCACTCTTGACTAGTGAAGGGTCGTTAGCCGAACGGGTAAGATAGGATGAAACCTTCCATTATAAGTATAATGAAGTATAAAGTAACTAATTTATTATTTTTTTAAAAAAATTCCCAAATCATAGTTACTTTAGGCAAAATGTGAAATTGTATGCTAATCAATGGAATGACACTTTGCACCCTTGCCGAGACGTTAGCAGAGTGTGTGTGGTTAACCGGCACACTAATTTGGGTTTGGAATTGGTAGCGAAGGGTGACTCAATGTTTGTCATAGATCAATGGAGCATGTGTGGCTAACTGGCACATTGATTAGGTGATAGTAGCATTGAGTGCACCACGTAGATTCGTATGGTTCTTCACACATTGTTTGTGATCCTCAGCATCTCAGTCGCAAACTTGAAGGGCATAATCGAGATTACACATGCCATTGAAAAGTTCAATGAATCTCAAAAGATCTAGGAGTTTCAATTCATTTAAAACTTCAACTTCATTTTCGTTTTTTTATGGTGGAAATTGGTAAATCGTCATTTACCTACCTTCAAATATTCTGCAACTAGATTAGGGCATCCTTCTTCTAGGTTGTAGAGTATTGTGTTGGATCCTAGCCTTGATGTTTCATTTTGGGTGTTACATCAAGGATTCTTATCAACTGACTTGAATTTTCTCCTATTTTGTAGATGTCTGAATCTTATAATGGTCTTCCCAAATCCTTTGGAACAAGGTTTCCAAATGAAGATGACGTTTTGAGATACGATCAAGGAAATGAGAGTCATGCTTCACTTCCTCCACCTCCTCTAATTGTTCTCCTTGACCCACAATTTCGAAGGATTGAAAAGTTCAAGCTCACTCAAGCCCTTTTGGCAAGTAAACACGAAGATGGGAAACCTGTGTGTGCATACGTCTTAGAGATGAAGTCACACATTGATAGGTTAAGGATGTTGGGTGTTGATATCTCAGAGATGTTGGATGTTGACTTGGTTCTTCAGTCACTTCCTGATTCGTATAGTGAGTTCGTAAGAGTGTACTATACGATGGTTCACGACGTGACCCTCATTGATTTAACCTATTTGCTTATTGCTGCTGAATCAACGATGATTTGGCTTAATGGTCAAGCAAACTTGATTGGTCGACCAAACTCCCATACTTCATTGGACACTGGAAACATTGAAAGTCCAGAAAGGACTGAGAATGAGATTGTCCCATGTAATGTGCCAAAGGAGTCCATTTGCTTTTATTGCCAAGAGAAGGGGCATTGGAGATGAAACTGCCCTGTTTACCTGAGACATCTAAGAGATAGGAGAGTCAAGACGTATGACTCTGATTCAAGTAAAATCCATTAACTAACTCTATAAGTTCCTATTTTTGATTCTTAATACATGATGTGATAAGATTACATTTTGATGTTTTCGCGGGATCGAAAAAAAGAAAGGAAGCTTAAGGAAGAAGCGTACTGAATCTGATCACGAAGAAATGGATTTCGATCGCATGGATTCAAAGATCGGATTTTTGAGCTGCTACTTTAGATTTAGGGTAGATTGCTAAGAAATATGTAATAGCATAATTTTCTGTAGAATTGCATTGTAAGGACAAGTTTTTCCGCAATAAAATAAAATTTTGATTTTATCTTATTTATATATCTTTGCAATGGCATGTATGAAAAATTGATGTTTGAAGGTTTCCATTATTAGCAATAATGGATTTGATTCTTAATTATGCTATTTGTGGAAATGTCGAGAATTTTCCAAATTGGAAGAGTTTCTCATCGCCCAAGTTTCAATTGGACGAAAACTTGGAATCATACAACTTGGTTATGTGATGAATGAGAAAATTTATAATTGGAAATTGAAGACTAATTCATTGACAAAGAGTCAAGTGAAGGACCAGGAGATCGAGTTCACAATGTTGTGCATCAATCAAGTCCACCACTAGAGTGATAAAGATATTCGTCATGATTTACTAAAGTTTAGTAAATATGATTATTCTTATAAGATTAAGCGTAACTCTGAGTTAATTGAAAAAGGTTTCAATGAATGACAGAATGAATAAGAAGAATCAAGAAGGCAGAAAGATAAATTTTCTCTGTTCTAAGAAGAAGGGAGAGTACCTTTTATTGTGTTTTATGATAAAGTCTTAATGATTAAGAATAATATCTCAATTGGTCCTCTAAGTGAGTCTTAGTACATTTATATGTCTAAGAAGAGGAATCAGGAGTTGTGGAAATGGTTAAATCAAGAAGTCAATCATACTTCGTTCCAATATCGAATGTTAGAGTCATACTCCAAGATTGCGAA